CCAAAGGTGCATCTCAAGCCGGTCCAGAGAAATGATACTCCCCCTCTGTGCAACTTGGTCAGGCCGCAGTTGGAGTACTGCGTCCACTACTGGGCGCCGCACTTCAAAAGGGATGTGGCCAGCCTGGAGAGGGTTCAGAGGACGGCCACCCGCTTGGTGAGAGGGCGGCAGGACAGGCCCTATGAGGAGAGAGTGAGGGACCTGAACCTGTTCAGCCTCAGCAAGAGGAGGCTGAGGGGGGACCTGGTGGCTGCCTACAAACTCATCAGGGGAGATCAACAGCAAATAGGTAGAGCCCTTTTCTCCCCAGTACCACCTGGGGTGACAAAGAACAATGTTTATAAGCTGATGGAGAATAGGTTTAGGTTAGAGATCAGAAGGCAATATTTTCAGTTATGGTGGCCAAAATCTGGAACCAACTTCCCAGGGAAGTGGTCCTCGCGCCTACCTTGGGCAAATTCAAGAGGAGGTTGGATGATCACCTGTCTGGGGTCTTGTGAACCCAGCATTCATTCCTGCCTGTGGCAGGGGGTCAGGTTAGATGATCTGTTCAGGTCCCTCCTGGCCCTAGCTACTATGAAACTATGAAGGAAAAAAGAATAGCCAGTAAGAAAGGAGAGGGAGAGCAAAACGTGTGTGGCACTCATATGTTTGTGGCAGTTGACATGTAAAAAAGCTGAAATGATACAATCTTTATATGTATTCTTGATTCTCTAAATCAGTGGTTCTCAACCTTTTTTAGTTTCAGGGCACCCCTCCATATTTTTTTTTAAATTTGGCAGTACCCTGGTTGAGAACCACTGTTACCTCTGCTTACTTCAGTGGTTTCAGCTGGATGGTGCTCCAGCTGCTGCCTCTACTGCAGCCAAGTAGAACTGCCCATGTACCTCATCTGGAGCCAGACCAGGAAAGTCTGCAACAGGAGCACATGCTTCTACCTGAATTAGGATTATTTGATAAACCTAAAGCAGGCAGGAGTGGCCACTCTTGCCACAGCCCTTCCTGGTCTAACCCTGCATGGTCCTTCTGGAAACAGATGCATGGGGTACACAGTTCCACTTGGTTGCAGTGGCAGCAGCACCTGTACCAGAGCACTCATGAAAGACTTTTGTGGCACCCCAGTTGAGAACTGGTGCTCTAAATTATGCTCAATATAGTTTTATGAAACCGATATTTTAGATGGAATATTATGTTTAGAGCTGTGGTTCTCAACCTTTTTAGACTTGAGGTACTGCTGGATAGATGTGAGGCACTCCTTGGAAAATGCAGCTCTTAGTTTTCATTTATTTTTAAATTACCAAGAAATAATAGAACAGTTTTTTATTGTAAAGAACTCAGAAATACTACAACAGGATAGAATATTTTTAACGTTATGGATTCCTATTTGAAATCTCTATCTTGTGAATCATGTTTGCATGCGTAACAGTGCTAACATTGCATGGCATTCCGTAACACCCTTGAAAGGATCTCAAGGTGCCACAGGGTGCCATGTCATTCTGGTTGAGAATCACTAATTTAGATGCTATGCGTAAGTGAATAAGATGATTTTACAGACTTAGTGGTTGGAAAACATAATGGGGGCCATTACTGTGCTGTGACCAAGAAACTACCACATGTTCCTATTGACTCTTAAGAATTGTTGGTATCTTAATTTTATTTTTGTATAAATCAAAAAGTATGTATGGCACATAGTTTGATTTATTATCTTATATTATCTTAAAACACTATAGTGCAGTACCCCTTCTAGAGAGTGATGTCAGCATTTACTCTATGAAGATATCCTTGTATGCACATGCCTATGTGTATGGGATATTTTTAGGATGTTTTCTGGATTTATGTGTACTAGAGATACTACCTTGTAATGTTTTTGACCTAGGAAAAGCTTCTAGCCTCTCCTGGCATCGACATGGGTGAGAATGAAATTTCCTCTCCTGAAACTGCAATTCAAACAATAGTAGACCAGTCAAATGTACAAGTGGAAGGTAAAGTTATGTTTTAAGGTGAAGTGTACTAATCTTTAATGTGTCAGAGAAATAAAACTCTATTTTGTTTTTGATAAATTAACCTTACTAGAATTCAGTTTTTAGTATTTAAGGCATTTTAAATGACTATCAATAAAATAAATACTGTTAAAGAACTCAGCCATCTGCAAATTAAAATTCTGCGTTTGGAATTTAGTGAACACTGAGGTTTATGGTTGTACTGGAACGGAATTCAGTTTGCATGCTCATAGATACTGTAGTCCTTCTGTACTTAAAAATGTGCTATTTTTTGGATTTTTTATGTTACAAAAGATACTAATTTTACTTAGGGTATAAGAACACACAGAAGTTATTACTTTACCTGGTAAGCTAAGGTACAAAATCATACTCTGTGCTTTACTCTGTATCTGCAGTTCCGTAGCTGGTGTCCTCACACTTACCCTGCAGTAAATGTGAGATTTCTTACCCCACTTTCATGGAAGGGTAAGCTACTTGACATTTACTGTAGTGTAACAGCATGCAGTGGCAGTTACTATCTTTAATTAACATACCATAGGTCCTGTTCTACCTTACACAAACAAGTTACAATAAGGTATCTTTTAAATAACTTTCTTAGCATAATTACTCCTTAAGTAAATGGGAGGTCTGAAAATCTTCAGTGATAACAACATTTTTCAATCAGAAGTTATTTTATGGAAACAAACTTTACCTATATTTTTTATAATTTTTATTTTTTTATTTTGCCTAGAAACAAATACTTGCAAAACGCAAAAATACTGAAATACTAAGGAAAACATAGTAGCAAGTTAAATGACTGAAACCTTCCCCCCAACATACTATATAACTGTTTTTCATTAAACAGTCATTGAATAAAATGAATCCACCCGGAGCAAGAATAGAAACAAAGGTTTTTCCTCTCCCAGATGAGTCCTAATCACTGAGTTAAAGCAGTGATTCTCAACCAGGGTGCAGCACTACATACATCCATAGTGTTAAAAACATTCTGCCTGCTGTGGTCTTTCAGAGTTCTTTGCAACAGAAGAATTGCTCTTTTTCTCTAGTCAAAGAATTAGTGGAAACAGAACTGTGGCATTTTCCAAGGGGAGTCTTGAGTCTAAAAAGGTTGAGAACCACTGAAAGTAATTCTCCATGATGCTTTATTTCTCTGTGCCTTTGAGTCTTGAATGCTTTTCCACTATAAAAAAAAAAAAGAGCTTCAAATAGGAGAGATGGGGTAGAGGCATTCTATAACAGCCTGTAGCCAGGTGGTTAGGGTACTCTCCTCAAAAAAGAGGTTTGAGTTTGAAATATGCTTAGGCTAAGGACATTTAATCAAGGCTCCCACTTCCTGTTTGAATGCTCTAATCAGGCAACCTATAGCCTGATCTGGCCTGCAAAGAGATGGAATCTCGCTATTGGCAGCTCAACTCAGATGATTGCAGCAGGTTTGGAGGGGGCATTCCCAAGGTCCTGCAGCCCACCCTGCAGTAGCCAGGGTACCAGAGATGATGTCCCCAGAGACCTAATATCAGCTGTGCTCCTTCTATTCCCTCTGCTCAGCTCTCTCTGCTCTTTGCCATTGTTGAATTTAACCCTTTCCATCAGTGTTAGCTATTTGAATCAGCAGGCAGCTTGGGTGCTCTAGGGGAACAGAGACTTGCCGCTCATGGTGGGGGCTGGGTTGCAAGCAGTAGCTGACTTCTGTTTTGACTTCTAAACTCTATAAAGAAGGGCAATGATTCTCTTCCTTTGTTTTTGAATGAAGGTGGTCATGGCTACTTTATTTTGTGTAGAACTTACTCCTGTTGGTATATATTGGGTATGTTGTCAGTATCCAGCACTATAATAGCTATGTAGTAAGCAGGGATCCTGGTTTTCTCTGTTTAAAAATTTCAAGTTCTCTGATAAAAACACAAATTATTTGATTTAAAAACCCCAAAATCTACATGATATATTTACAATTTTAGGGCAAATTGGAAGCCTGCCAGTGCCTCAATCATTGTAATAAAATAAGTTCTAAATACCTATACATTTTTGCATTTGATTTGGGGTTTTTTAATCATGAAAAGTCAGAGGTCTCCCTGCCCCCTTTTGCTCACCAGGACACGGGTCCAGATATGGCTGTCCTCCCTCACTGCTTTGTGGCACTGAGCAGCCCTGATATGCTGGTGCCCTGCCCATGCCGTTGCTTCTCGCTCCCCACCCAGGCCCTGCTGGTGCCTTTCATTCTGCACCCACAGTCTGCTGGCCCTACCAGCGTCCCTCACTCCCCACCCACAGCCCAGCCTTGCTGGAGGGGGTGCCCCAACTGCCAGGGCTATGGGGCCAGGGACCCAAGTCCACAGCCCCCTGCCCCCACAGCTACAGTTGAGCCCTGGCTGCTGCCTGGGGAGGCAACAGCTGCTGTGGCTGAAACCAAGCATGGAACCCAGCTCCCCCTCCCTCATGGGCGGCACGACTGGAGTGGAGCTCATGGACGGGGGCAGATGTAGGCTGCCCGCTGTGGGCTCAGGCTCCCTGCCCAGCTGCCCTCCTTCCAGGGCCTCTGCAGCCCTGTAGGACCTGATATGGCAGGGTAGAACAGGATGGGGAGGCTCAGTATCACTGCCAGGAGCCCTGCACTGCCCGCCCAGCAGCAGCACAGAGCACAACTGCATCCCCGCTGCTTGGCACCTTGCCATGACATATGGTTCCAAGCTTCCCCGTCCTGCTTTGCCCTGCTGCACTGGGATCTCACCCGCTGGGCTGCAGAGGTCCTGGAGGGAAGGCAGCAGGGCAGGGAGCCCTGAGCCTGGAGCCACTAGCCTGCTTCTGCCCCTGCCCCACACACATCTGGGGGGGCATGTGCCCCCCACATTCCCACTAGGAGTGCATGCAGTGGCAGGGAGCCAGCCCCCATCCCTGCCCCCCAGGCAAGCCACCTGTGGTTTCATCCCACTCCCCAGCTGGGCCTTGCTGCCACGCATTCTGGCCCCAAGCCCCACACACCACTGAAGCCCTGCCCAACTCCCTTCCTCCCTCACTATGAGGCCTCAAATCCCTCCCCTCGTGCCCCTGCCCAACTAACCTGCAGGGAACTGTGGCCAGCCTACAAGGGGAAACCTACCATTTCCCATATTTTTCTCCTTTAAAGGAGAAAATCTGCATTTTACTGTGTTTTTCTTTGGTGAATGGAAAACCCAAATCCCTGGTAATAAGGGAGAAGGGAGTAAGAACCTTAACTCAACTTTGGAACATTTTACGTCACTTTTATAATGTAATTATTAGTAGGCTTTGGTGTCAGCATCTATTAAAGGACTTTATGAAGCATCCACCAAGAACAGATTGCTTTGCTCCAAAATGTTTGGGAGTAGAAGGAAATTAAATAAGGGCATATATAGCAAGTAAGGCAGAATCTTTGAAAATGCCACAAAATTGTATTGGCCTTGATTAGAGAAGCAGTCAGATTAAAGCCCAGTAAAAACAAGAGAAGTCTTTCATTTGGGCGTTGGATGGAATCCTGAATAAGAATACTAAGGCAACCAAGAGGAGGACAGCAATCAAACTTATCATCCATATCTGTCTCTGTAGTGTTAACTAAAATGAGTGTAATGTCCTAGATGTGTTTCTGAACCTTTTTAGAATTGTTGCACCCCTGGATAAATGTGAAGCATCCCTCAGAAAATTCAGCTCTTAGTTTTCACTTGTCATTGACCACAGCAAACTAATAGAGCAATCCTTTTTTTGCAAAGAACTCAAATTACAAAACAGGGCAGAATATTTTTAACACTACAGATTCCTGTTTGAAGTCACTGGGTGCATCCAGACGGGCACGAATGTGTGGTATGTGGTGCCACAGAGGCTGCTACTTTGCAGCGTAGGGTTTTTTTCCAACCCTGGGACGTCCCAGGGTCAAACAAAAAACTCACACCAAAAAAAAGTGGGTGGCGCATGTGGTGACAGTGTGTACCACCCAAAATCAGAGCTTGGCCGGCCAAAGCTACGCTCCGGCTACTGGCCAAGGTTTCTGCTGTAGGAGTGTCACAGCTGCAGCTCGTGGAGGTCTGTAGGACCCCAGGACCTGAGGTAAGGCTCCTGGGGCCAACACAGTTGCTGGCCCCAGCTTCTCCTACCCCACCTGGGGTAACCTGCCGTGCACCAGAGCACACATGGCATGTGTGTTCCCCAGGGACCTTGTGCCTCTGCTATT